AGGCTGACCATGATGACGCAAATGGAGTAAAGTCTTCGGAAGCTTGATTTGCTGATGGAGCACAACTCAAAACAGGGAGAAATAGCTGCACACATCCATTAATAATTGGAATGTGGAATGTATGAAGTATGGAACTAGGAAAATTGGAAGTTGTCAAAATGAAAAGGAACACTAAAGATCAATATCCTAGAAATTAGTTTGTAGAACTAGACTGGTATTGGCCATTTGAATAAGACAATAAAATGGTTTGCTATGCCAGAAATGACAAATTCAAGAGAAGTGGCATCATATTTATCATCAAAAGTACATTTCAAGACGTATCTTGAAGTACAACACTGTCTGTATATTATAGGATAATATCTACACGCCTAAAAGACCTAAAAGTAGCATTATTACTAAAGTAAGTGATGATAAAATTGAAGAATTCTACTAATTTCTTTAGTCTGAAGAACAACGTATAATCAAGATGTATTGATAGTTACTGGTGATTGGAATGCTAAGTTTGGTAACAAAGAAAAAAGATCAATAATTGGAAAGTATCAGAAGTTAACCTTGGATATAGAAGCACGGCTGGAGATCACATGATAGAATTTTGTAAGACCAATGACTTTTTCGGTGTAAATATCTATTTAAAACAAAATAAAGGCAACTCTAAACATAGACGTCAACAGATGAACTACCCAGAAATCAAATTAACTACATCTGTGGGAAGAGACAGTGGAAATGCTCAGTATCATCAGCCAAAGCAAGACCAGGGGCCAATGGTGGAATAAACCATTAGTTGCCCACATGCCAGCTCAGGATAAGGCTGAAGGAAACTAAAACAAGTTCATGAGAGCCAAAATATTACCTGGAATATATCCCACCTGGATTTAGAGACCATCTCAAGAACTGCTCAGATGCAGTAGGCACTAATCTCCAAAGTCTAGATGAGTTGTGGGATGACATCAAGAACATAATACAGAATGAAAGCAAAAGGTCATTAAAAAGACAGGAAAGAAGGAGAATACCAAAACTGATGTCAGAAGAGATTCTGAAGCTTTCTCTTCAATTTAGAGATGCTAAAGCAAATGGAAGAAATGAGGATGTAAAAGAGCTGAGCAGAAAATTTTGAGGGCAGGTTGAGAAAATGAAGAATTAGAATGAGATGTGTAATGATCTGGAGTATGAAAACCAAAAGGGAAGAAACCGCTCAGCATATCTCAAGCTGAAAGAACTAAAGAAAAAATTCATCTCAACTTGCAATATTGAAGGATTCCATGGCAAAATATTGAATGATGCAGAAACTGTCAAGGGAAGATGGAAGGTATAAACAGAGTAACTGTACCAAAAAGAATTGGTGGATGATAAAACATTTCAAGAGGTAGCATATGATCAAGAACCAACGATAATGAAAGGAAGAAGTCCAAGCTGCATTGAAGGCACTGATGAAAAACAAGTCTCCATGAAATGAGAGAATACAAATTGAAGTCTTTCAGCAAAGTGATGCAGTACTAGAGGCACTCACTCATCTATGAAAAGAGCAAGAAATCTGGAAGACAGCTACCTAGCCAACCAATGGGAAGAGACCCATATTTGTCCATTCCAAAGAGAGGTGACCCACCTGAATAGGGAAATCATTAAACAATGTAATTCATATCACATACAAGTAAAATTTTGCTGAAAATAATTAAAAATGGTTGCAACAGTACATCAACAGGGAACTGCCAGAAACTCAAGCCAGATTCAGAAGAAGACATGGAACTCTGCTGACATCAAATGGATCTTGACTGAAAGCAGAGAACACCAGAAAGATGTTTATTTATGCTTTACTGACTATGCAAAGGCTTTTGACTGTGTGGATCATGACAAACTATGAAAGTGGATCACTTCAAACATTGTGTAGAATGGGTATTCCAGAACACTTAATTGTGCTCATGAGGAACTTATACATAGATCAAGAGGTAGTTGTCTGAACAGAACAAGGAGATACTGAATGGTTTAAAATCAAGAAAAATATCTGCCAGGGTTGTGTCATTTCACCATACTTATTCAGTCTATATGTTGAGCAAATAATCTGAGAAATTGGATTATATGAAGATGGTGGCATCAGGATTGGAGGAAGACTCATTAACAACTTGTGATATGCAGATGGTACAACTTTGTTTGCTGAAAGTGAAGAGGACTTAAAATACTTTCTAAAGAGGGTTAAAGAATATAACTTTCAGTATGGATTGCACCTCAATGCAAAGCAAACAAAAATCCTCACCACTGGACCAATAAGTAACAACCTGATAAATTGAAAAAAGATTGAAGTTGTCAAAGACTTCATTTTGCTTGAATCCACAATGGAAGCAACTGTTAAGAATATTACATTAGGCAAATCTACTTCACAAGATCTCTTTAAAGAGTTCAAGAGCAAAACTTTCAGTTTGAGGACTAAGATGCACCTGACCCAAGCCATGGTATTTTCAATAGCCTCATGTGCATGTGAAAGCTGGACAATGAATAAGGAAGACCGTAGAAGAACTGATGCATTTCAGTTATGGTGTTGGAGAAGGATACTAGAAGTACGAACAAATCTATTTTGGAAGAAGTGCAGTTAAAATGTTTCTTAGAAGCCATGATAGCGAGGTTTTGTCTCTCATACTTTGGACATACTCTCAGAAGGGACCAGTCCCTGGAGAATGACATTATGCTTGGTAAAGTGGTCCTGGTGGTGGTTGTGTGTTGAGGAGTTGATTATGTATCATGGAGTTGGTTCCAAGTCATAGCGACCCTGCATAGGGTTTCTGAAGCTATAAATCTTTACGGGAGTAAAAAGCCTTTCCCCATGGAATGGCTGGTAGTTTCGAACTGCTGACATTGAGGTTAGCTGTCCAACTCATAACCACTATGCTACCAGAGCTCCTTTGGTACAGTGGAGGGTCAGGAAAAAATAGAAAGATCCCCAACGAGATGGACTGGCACAGTGGCAGCAAAATGGACTCAAATATAACAATTGTGAGGATGCCATGGGAACGCATACTGTCAAGGGAATTGTGTTGTGAATGGGGTTGCTGTGAGCTGTGAATGTGGTCACTATGAGTTGTGTTGTGAATGTGGTTGCTATGAGTCGGAACCAATTTGATGGCACCTAACAACACAACTCTGTTACTATGAATTAGAATTAATGCAAAGGTACCAAACAACTGATGTGGCTGTGTGGCTGGTTTTGTGATAAGCCCATGTTCACACAAGGAACACCTGGTAAAGTCAGAACTTGAACCCTTGCAGATGGCTCCATAGTTTGCCTTCTTAAGCACCACACCATAGGAAGGAGAGAAGACTTGCCTACACATATATTAACCATTCATAAAACAAGCTCTATTGCATTATCAAGATAAGCATTTCCTGTAAAGGTAGACATTTTATAACAAAAGGAGGACAGTGGTTGATTTTGCAGTCCAGGAGTGGAGGTCCCTGGGACCATCAAGTGAGAAGAGAGGTGTGCAGGACCCTACCCAGAGAAGCAGTGACACCAGAAATGGAGGCAGACATGATGACATGGACAGATGGAGAGGCTGGGGACTCTGGACTCAGGGAGATAGAGGGGCTGTGTGCTGACAACCAGGGAGCAGGCCCGTAGGGTGTACCCTTTGGTTGTTTGATGACACATGGAGGGGATTGTAATCATTGTAATGAAATGAAATATGATAGGATGAATGTAAAACTGGTGTTCTCCCATGTAAACTCACATAATTCACAATTAAAAAAAAAAGATAATCATTTCTTGTTTTTTATTTTACTGTTCCTCTTAAAGTATAATAAATTTTCAGTTATCTGACACATCTAAATTATGAATAACTGAGATTTCTATTGTAGTGAGATAACAAACTATTATTTTCATGGATTATTTAAAAAGTCATCAAATACATACAAAGAAGAGTTGTTGTTTTTTTCACCATAATCCAAATTTTAGAAAATCATAATTTTTATTTCTAACAGCTCCCTGACTAACTCCATAGTTGTGTGAATATTGGTGTTGTTAGATGCCATAGAGTCGGTACTGACTCATAGCAACCCTATGAACAACCTAACAAAACACTGCCCGGTCCTGGGCCAACCTCACAATTGTTGCCACGCTTGAGCCTATTGATGTTGCCACTTTGTCAATCCGAGAGGGATTCTGTGAATACAGGCATGCCATTTTAGTTTGGGATCTTAGTTTCTTTGTACATAAGAAATCTCATAATCTTCTGTCTTACTTACATTAAAAGTGAAATGAATAGTAACATAATCTTATCCCATGGATTAATAAGAAAATGTATTCAATAATCTTATAAAAATATATACAAGTAACCGTTTTTTATTATTATTAATTGTATTGCAATAAACAGTTTACAAAGTCATTTTGCATATCTTAATCCATTTAACAAAAATCCTGATATAAACAAAAAATATTATCTCCCTTATCCCCCTTTTATATATACCAGTAGTCCTGGTGTGGCACTGTAGGATAAGCACTGGACCGAAAGGTCATTTTGAATTCCAAGGTCGGTGATTCAAATTCACCAGCTGCTCCTCAGAAACCATACACAGGGTCACTATGAGTCCTAACCAACTCTATAGCACTTAATAACAAAATTAAAAACCAAAACCACTGCCATTGAATTGACTTTGACTTATAGCAGCACTATAGGGCTTCCAAGAGTATAAATCTTTAAGGATGCAGATAGTCTCATTTTTCTCCTGTGGAGCAGCTGGTGATTTTGAACTGCCGACCTTGTGGTTAGCAGCCCAACACTTACTCAACAGTTTAGTAACTGAAAATTAAAGATGATGCATGTCTTATTCAAGATCCCAGAATTAGCAAAAAGTAGAAAGGATATTTGACTCCCGACATTACCATGGCACTTCACTTAATACTTTCATGAGGAAAAAAATTGTTTATTATTAACATTTTTATTATTTAAGACAAAAAATCTGGGATATAGTATTTTTATTCTAATCTGGTGCTGGATGAAAGAGTGTACACTCACCTTTTTGACCTCATACTTAATGGCGAGTTTGACACGACTCAATGAAGATTTATGCCTGTGCATCTCCAGAGATTCTGCAGATTCCAAATCTCCATTCAGAATGGCTTCCACCTCTTCTGAGTCTCGGCAAAGATCCAGCACACCCACTACAAAGTCTTTGCATTGCATGGAGAGCTTTCGATAGTCATTCTGAGAACAAGATGTTAAGAGTATATTATAAAGAATGTGCTTTTAATTCAATGGGAAGTGCTCAGGGTTTGAGGGATTGAGAAAAAGGTCCCTATCTGGATGAAACTATTGGTACATTTGATACAGGCTGGATTTCCTCTTCCCCTGCACCTCTCCCCCCACCCCCAGCTCCCCACCCCCTTTTTGATTAGGTACCCTTCTGAAACCTGGAATGGTAGATACATAAGTCATTTGTTTGTATTAACAGATGTTCGCTAAAGGTGAATGCTAAACGAATGACTAAAGATTCCAAAAGAGCTTGATCTCTTTTGTACAGACAAAAAATAGTTTTTAAAGTCAAAACAAGACTACTTCTTTATAGTGGTAATTAGACATAGATGACTGTTAGTGGAAATAATGTGTCTAGAAATGCAAATTCTCAGAGTATACCCCAGATTCTGAAAACCTGTTTTAGCAATTCCTCTAGGTAAGATTCTTATATACACAAATGTTTGAGAATCACTGATATACAGTAAATGTAATGAGTAGACAGGGACCGGCATAGAGAAGATATTTTTTCTTGTTTGTCTGAAGGGCAATATTAGTAATGCCTGGAAGAACTGGAAAGAGAGAAAGGTCTGATTATATGTAATTGAATGCTCAAGGGTTGCAGAATATCAATACCTGAGAGAAAATTTTCCAGGCCACTGGAACTAACACCTTGCTAAAAATAATCTGTGAATCTTTAATTTCATTTGCATATTTATATAGTGCTATGGACTGGTACAAAGAAGTCAGTTGGCAGCATTCCCTGCTACCTTCTGAATGAACATCTATTTCTAGCCCATTGGTTCCAGTCAAAGTGCCAATGACCATCTCTTGGGAAAGTTATCTCACTTTTGGAACATCCTGTTCCACTTCTCTGACTTTCACTAAATTTCTAGCCCATTAAGAAAGTTAACTAGACGATAATCTAATTTGGAACACTTGGGGGAAAATAGAATTCTTCAATTCACTATGTTCTGAGACCTGTATATATCTAAATCACTAAATAATATCTAGCATAACAGAGTTTTCTGGCTTCCAAACTCCATAGTTTTTTTTTAAAGGACAAAGAATTTAAAATTTTTTCCTTAAATAATTAATTTGATGAGAAAAGCCATGGCAGCAACTAAAATAAACAAGAAGAGGAGAGACTGTTTAAAGGTTAGCCAGACCAAAATAGTTTCCCTTTTGAATATCAGAACTTCAGATAAAGAACAGTTACAGTTAATCCTTTTCCTCTCAAAAGGGAACAGATAAAATGAATAAAAACTTCAATCTTTGGTTTCTGCTCAGGTCGGTACCATGCAACTTTTGAAATTAATAGAATATCCAGTCTCTGGTTTCTACGTAGAGTGTCAGTAAAATATCCATCTGCCTTCCATTCCTGTGACTAATGAAATATTTGTTTGCAACACCCAGAAGTACTAAATCTGTGTCTGTTTCCATATAAAGCTTCTGCTTTAATACAAATGTTTTTGTTTACATTCCCTCGTGTTACTCTTCAGTTCAAATTGTTTTGGAAGATTTGGTACATCTGAATGGTAATTTCTCCATTGTTCAGAAACAAGAGGGGCTACTTTCATAGCTTTGAAATTTTTTTTAGTAATTGTTTCTTTAGTATCACCCCACTAATGACTTGTTTTTAAAGATTATAATCTGTAAATTGTCTACTCTTAAAGAAGTCTTTTTTTTTTTCACAGTCACTGAAACATGAGTCAAGACACAAGGAACTGGTAAGCATACAAGATGCAAGGGCAACACTGTTTTCATAAAAACTAAAACAATTCCTGCAAGAATAAGTCTTTTGCCCCACTAATGAAAATAGAGCTGGAGAATATAGTGATTTCTTTTACTGTAATCCTGTTATACCATTTTTTAAAAAAAAATGTAGAGCTACCAGGGAAGCCAGAGAGTGCCGGTTAAAGCAAGAGAAACTATCTAAAAAGCCTGCACTGCACCATAAGCTGACTTGATTTTAGCATGAGGTCGTACTTCACCTCACTTTCCAGGTTACAGTTCTTCTGGTCTACATTTTCTAATGATTTCCTCTTAATTTAGTCTTTGTTTAATGAACTTCATTGTACCACTTGTCCATTGCATGGCCTTCCACAAAATTAGTAGGTGGACCTGCTGTCCACTTTACAGAGCAAGAACTCAAAACCTGGAGGATCTGCTCAAGACTGAGAAATAATGAAGGTTAGTGTCAGTACAATCTATCTACAGATCTCTCAGTACACTTATTCTAATGTGTATAGATTCATCGCCATTCTCATCCCTTTTGATCTTTAATAGGAAAATTGAAATTCAACTCTAACCATGCTAGGTTTTGATACACTCTTTCCCTAGTATTAAGAGGCAATTTTGTGTGTTGACTGTTAAAGTAATACACAATCTGAAGTCTGTGTGTTGCTTCTACCACTTCCCAGCTGTGTGGATATTGTGGAAATTATTTAACCTTGTTGTTATTATTGTGAAGATTAAATTAGCCAAAATATATTAAATGCTTAGAATGTGCTTGGTATACACTGTTGCTGGTAGTGGTGGTTATTGTCGACTTGATTCTCCAACTCATAGAACTGTTGCTCCAAATATTTGCTTCAATACAAGGGAGCTTCAATAAGTTCATGGAAGAATGAAATAGAAAAATAATGGAATTACTTCACAAACGTTCTGAAGCACCCTCGTAGTATCAGGTATAGCACATTGCACAGATTATCTAGGATTGGGACTCAAACCACTCACTAAATTTAGCACATTGCCTGTTTTTTTCATTTCTTAACTGAGGAGTCTGTATATCTAGATGATTCCTAGAGTTTTTTGTTTGATAGTATTCTATGCTTGCTTTTGGATTATAATCATTTTCCTCACCTCTTTTTAGGATTCTGTTAAGATATATAAGGAACACTGTGGCTCTGTAGAATTAGTACTGGACTGGGAAATATAAAGTTGGCAGCAAGCCTACTAGCCACTCCACAAGAGAAAGATGAGCCTTTTTGTTCCCTCAAAGATTTACAGTTGTGGGAACCCTATGCAGGGTCCCTATGAGTCAGAACCCAGTTGACAGCACTCAATAACAACAACAACAATATGATACATACTTCATCTCTTTTTCTTTTTTAAAAGATAGGAAAACTGAGGTGCAGTGAAAGCAAATGACTTGCTCAAAGATAGTGGACCACTGATTCAGTCAAAATCAGAAATTTCAATCTGTAGTCACATATATTAATAAATGGTTTCCTTGCCACTGATGTTGGGAGGATTAGACCTAGAGTCCATCCTGTCCAATATTCATTTTCTCAGAATAGCTTCAGACAGCATTTGAACATCAAAAATATTTGTTAAATAATCTGTCACTGAGTGGTCCTCCATTAATTTATCTAAATCTATACTCTGCAATATTCAACCTCTTGAGGTGATGACCTTCTAATGTTTTCAGCACCATGACTACTGTATTCTTCAAGGAACTGTGAAAATGGAAAAATGACTGAGAATCTTCTCTGAAGCCCCTGAGTGATGGCAATTTCAGGGGTTAGAACTCGATATTAAAGGCCATTGATAAGGTAAAATAGGTTTAAACCCAAACCAAACTTACTTCTAGCTCATCAGTTCCTACTCATAGTAGCCTTGTAGAGCAGAGTAGAAATGCCCCCAGAGCTATAATCTTTACTGCAACTGACTCTTGCATTTTTCTCCTTTGAAGCTGCTAGTGGGTTCACAAGGCTGACCTTTTGGTTAGCAGCCAACTGCTTAACCACAGCACCACCAGTGGTTAAAATAGGCACATTGTTAAGTGAGTCGGTTTCGACTCATAACAACCTTGAATAGGGTTTCTGAGGAGCAGCTGGTGGATTTGAACCGCCGACCTTGTGGTTAGCAGTTCAGTGCTTATCCAATAGCACTACACCTAAGTAGGCATGTTGTTGTTGTTATTAAGTGCCATTGAGTCGGTTCCGACCCATAGCGACCCTGAACAGGGTTTCCAAGGCTGTAAATCTTTACGGGACCAGAACACCTCATCTTTCTCCGGCGGAGCGGCTGGTAGTTCCGAACTGCTGACCTTGCGGTTGGCAGCCCAATTCGTAACCACTACACTACCAGAGCTTCTTAAGTAGGCATAGGTGTCTGAAAAGGGGAGAAAAAACCCACCTCTTTCTCACTACAGAACGTATTATCTATTTTTTTCATTTCAAGGCTAGTACTTTGAGCTCAAAGTCCCAATGGAAAGAATACAGCGAACATCAGAGAATAGGGCAAATTAGGTTACCAGCCTGCCTTAGAAATGAGCTTCACTTCCACTGCCCTTTCAGAGCTCGGCATCCCTGGGTCAGTGCAGTGAAAGCACTATTTTTTCTGTGTCTAAAGCCCTGACAGATGGACATGAGCTTGTGATGAGATGGCAAAGAGGTGAAAGGAAGACAAGTAAGAAAGGAATAACAAGGGCAGGTAAAATTGGAGAGAGAGAGAAAAAAGATATCTTAGTTAGAGGAGAGAGACTAGCAGTCCTTAGTGATGGTAAATTCTAAAGAACTGTCCTAATTTTGTTCAAGGTTTTTCATAAATTCAGGAAAAGGACTGTGAAATTTATACTAGCTTTGTATATCCTTAAAGACATCTGATAGTTTTATGAGTGTCTCCTCAAAGCTAATTCCAAGTTGTCTTTACCTCTTTTTTCTGTGCTATTTTCCCATCAGGTTAAAGGAAATCTGAAGCATTATCAATATAAATTTAGTGAACGTCAGCAAGGAAAAATCTTGAGCAACCAACAATTTCTATTATCATTGTGTCACTGAGATGTCTTCTTTGGGAGAAATTGCAAACACTGTCAATTTCCGTACATTATTAAAACATAATCTTAGAATATTCCCTTTTAGAGAATGTATTTTGCAGGCTTTCAATATGTATCAAGCACAATGCATAAAACAAGGTTAGGGTGATAGTTGACACATAGCAAATACACAGAATTAAAATTATGAGTTTTATTACTGTCTCAATATTTTAAAATAAATTAAAAAGTGCAAATTAGAACTTACTGGACCTGAACATGTTTCTACTCTCTCTAAACAGAATTGATGTCTTTTCAATGTAGTCTACTTGAGTTTTACTCCTTCCTCATTCCACCCTACTCCTCACTCACAGATTGTATTTAGTCTAAGAAAATAAATATTTTTAAAGATTATTGAATGAATCTCTTCAAAATAGGTATAAAGTGATACTTATTTTCTTCTTCATCCCCCCCATTGCTTTCAAAGTTTCTACAATATATATATATATATTTCTCTCTCTCTCTCTCTTTTTCTTTTCCTTCTCTTTTTCTTCTCCCACCCTCCCCTTCCCTTTTCTGTGATTAGAGACTGCTGTATTAAGAGGGAGTAATAAGACCACACTAAGGCCAGGTCTCTACCAAGACATGAGAATGAGAATTGGGAAGCACCTAGAGAATTTGGTGTGCATAAAAGTAAAAGAAACAAAATAAAAGCCACCAAACATGTAATCCTTTTCTGGCAACCTCAGGGAGAAAATAATTTCCTTAGCCTGAATTATATTGCTAATCATATTAGGATGTGGGACACAAAATAATCTCTCTTCTGTTACCTGTCATCACAACGCTAAACTAAAAGGATGATTAACTCAACATACAGATAATAATTTAAGGACGGGTATCTACAAGAATTCTCTGATGAGTAATCAGACTTTCCCTAGAACTACCAAATTCTTTTTTATCCCAAAGTTAGTAGCTAGAGACATTCAGGATACATCGGAGTAGGTAGCAATTAAGTAAAAAAACAAAACACAAAAAACCCCACAAAAAACCACTATCATCAATGTATAGTTTTATCAAAATACTATTACTTTAACTGGAGATGCTCTCACTAAAAAAACAAAATCCATTAAAGCAAACTATTTTAATGGATTTAAACTATCCTTGTATTTCTGGGTTAATCTTGACATCTATAACACCTTTCTGAATTTACTTTTGTGGATTTCAGGTAGAGACTTTTTTTAAAAATGTTTTATTGTGAATTATGTGATAGTTTACATGGGAGAACATTAGTTTTACATTCATCCTATCATATATATCCATATATATCGTTTCATTGCCGTGGTTACAATCCCCTCCATGCATCACCCACCAACCAAAGGGTATACCCTGCAAGCCTGCCCCCCTGGTCATCAGCCCACAGCTGCTCTCCCTCTCTGGTTCTAAAGTCCCAAGCCGCTCCATCTCTCCACATCATCGTCTAGGTAGAGACAATTTTGTATTAATGGAATGACTTGGACAGTATTTTTACACTGTGTTGGTCTTCTGACCTTCCATTCTAAAGAGATAAAAAGCTTGTGCCGATGAGCAGTTCACTCAAAATTAATACTTTTATGGTGGGTTCCATCATACAACTAACTACAGAAGAGGAGAGCGCATCTGGAAGGCAGAAAATTTTACCAAACTCCTCCTTTTAACAAAAGGAGAGGAAGTCTGTGTTATCCAGAACACAAAGCAGCATTATTCTTATAACTCTGGTCCAGAAACATACAAATATCTCACAGTACCATGGTTGAGAGGGGGGAAATCCTCACTCAACTTGTAATGATCTCTCACGATTCTAAATCTACTAGACAAACCCGATTCTGGGTCAAACGACATAAGAATCCAGGTGTCTGGAAGCAGACAAAAAATGAATGAGCGCTCAGGGCATTCCCAATGGCGCGCAGAGCTTACCTTGAACTCCTTCTCTATGTTGGCCAGCTTGGCTAGCTCATTGCTAAGCTCCAGAGCAGTGAGCACGGGGTCCTCACTGGACAAGGACAGATATGCCGGGCTGGCCAGCCCCTTGTAGGCGTTGATCCTTGAGCGGGAGTGACTGAAGGAGTCGTGCCTCTGCTTTTCCATGCACTCTCCGCACTTGCAGAAGTAATCGTGCGGCCGCTCGATCCTGGCGCCCTTCATTAGCAGCATGTGCACCACCTCGTACTTCTGGCAGTGCGCCGCCAGGATGATGGGAGTGATGTCGGGCGAAAAGCGCGTGCCGTCCTCGTCGTAAGCATAAAAGTCGTCGTCCTGCAGCTCCTGCTCACAGGGACTTAGGGTCAGGCGCTTGCTGGCCGCGAAGCCTGGATGGTTAAGGATGGCCTCCACAATGCGCACGTAGCCCTTACTTATGGCGAGCAGCAGGGCGTCGCCAATGCGCGCCAGGTTCTCCTTCTTGAGCAGCAACTCTGTCACTTCCAGGTGCTCGTTGCCCACGGCCAGCTGTAATGCGTTCTGGCCCATGTAGTCCACGCAGTTGACGTTCAGCGTCTTGGACTCCTCCAGCATCTTACGCACCACGGGGATGTTGCCATACTCCGCGGCGTCTAGGAAGCGCTCCTCCTCCGCGGTGAGGCTGGTACCCCGGTCGTTGAACATAAAGGCCGGGCCCCGGACGGCCTGGCGCCGGCCCTTCTCCCTCATCACCGTCATGCGCCTCAGAGATGGGCTTCCCTCCACCGACCTAATCAGCACCAACAAAAAAGCAACTGTGGGAGATCAGTACAAATCTCCATCCCTCCCAAATATACGGACCCTTTCTAGTGTACACAGCAACCACCTTACTCTAATGGATGCTTGGGATTAGTTGCTAAAGAGTCGCTTGAAACTTACAACTGTACCTAACACATGCTGCTTGAACCCAAAGAGAGGCAGGCAGCCCTTCAGAATACGATTTCCTGTCCACTAGAAAACAACATTCAAATGTAATCATAATAAAAAAAACAATTTCCACACACCTACACCTCCCCGTATGGCGCCCTGGCTGGCGACCTTGGGCTAATGCATAGGATTGCAAAGTCTTTTGAACTGCCAGGTTGGTGGTTCAAGCTCACCAGCTGCTACAGGGTCGTTATGGGTCGGAACCAACTCAAAGGCACTTAACAACAACAACAACAACAACCAGGTACTGGTGTGGCACTGTGGGCTAATGCGTCAAACTGCAAAGTCATTTGAACTGCAAGGTCGGCGGTTCAAGCTCACCAGTTGCTCCTTAGAAACCCTACACAGGGTCACTATGGGTCGGAATCGACACGACGGTATTTAACGACAACAACAACCAGGTACTTGGCTACAAATCAAAAGGATGGAGGTTTAAATCCACCCGGAACACCTTGAAAGAAGAGCCTGGTAATCTACTTTTGAAAAATCGGTCATTGAAAACCCTGTAGAGCATCATTCTACTCTAACACAGGAGGTTACCATAAGATAGATGAACTATACAACAGCTAGTTTTAAATAGCATATAAGTCACTCCTTTGTGAGACAATTCCAGTTCACATCTTAATTTCTGTAACTCTGGATAAATAATTTTCTTTGTGCTTTCTTGTGGTGTAAAACGAAAATTTATAAACTTCTCCAGATTTTTCTCATGAGCTGATAAACTGACCAGTCATTGGAGATGGATATCATGTTTGATAAGGTGGAGGGTCAGAGGAACCGAGGAAGACCTCTAACGAGATGGATTGGCCAAGTGGCAGCATTGATGGACTCAAGTGTGGCAACAGTAGTGAGGTTGGCCCAGGATCCGGCAGTGTTTCGTTTTGTTCTGCTGTGAGTCAGTACCGACTTGATGGCACCTAACAACAACAATAAACTGGTGTGGTGCTGTGGGTGAATGCATCAGACTGCAAAGCCTTTTGAACTGCAAGGTCGGCGGTTCAAGCTCACCAGTTTCTCCTCGGAAACCCTATACAAGGTCGCTAGGGGTCAGAATTGACTCAACAGCACTTAACAACAATAACAACAATAAGCAAAAAGCTGTTTTAGAAGTTCTGAGTATCTGAAAAACAAAGAATGTAATTATAACACTGTGATTAGTGGTAAGATTTCAATGGCTATTATTATAGATACAAATATGCATGCTATGGGTCAGAACCAACTCGACAGCACTGAACATACAACAACAGTGTCACTATGGTGGACGGGTTTCAGTGGGGCGTCCAGAGTATGACAGACTAGAGGTGGACCACTTTGGAATGGTTTAGTAACTGAAAATCTTATGAACAGTAGCAAAACATTGTCAGCTATAGTACTGGAAGATGAAAATATTATGAATAACAGGAAAACATTATAAGTATAATGCCAGAAGATAAGCCCCTCAAGTTAGAAAGCTCTCAAAATATGACTGGGAAAGAGCTGCCAAATTAAGTTGACAATAATAATGACATGGATGGAGTAAAACTCAAAATGAGGAGAAACAGCTGCAAATATCCATTAATAATCAGAACATGGAATGTACAAAGTATGAATCGAGGAAAACTGGAAGTGGTCAAAATTAAGTGGAACACATAAAATGTTGACATCCTAAGCATTAGTGAGCTGAAACTGATAATCATATGGTTTACTGAGTCAAGAATGACAAACTGAAGAAGAATGGTGTCATACTCATTGTCAAATAAGAGCATTTCAAGATCTATCTTGAAGTACAATGCTGTCTATGATAAGAAAATATCCATACACTAACAAAGAAAACCAGTTAGTACCACTATTATTCAAATTTATACACCAACCACTAAAGCCAGTATTGATGAATTAAAGAATTCTACCAACTTCTTCGAGTTTTCATGTGGTACCCTAGGGGAAGCACTGGATTTCCAACCTGAAGGTCAGCAGTGCAAACCCACCAGTCACTCTCTGAAACCCTATACAAGGTCACTATAAATTGGAACAGACTAGGCAGCACATAATAACTTCAACTTCTTCAGTCTGAAATTGGTCAAACATGTAATCAAGATGCATTGATAAAATGCAAAAGCTGGAAACAAAGAAGAATTGGTAATTGGAAAATATGGCCTTAGTGATAGAAATGATGCTGGAGATCACATGACAGAAGTTTGCAAAATCAATGCCTTATTCATGGTAAATACTTTTGTTAATAACATAAATGATGACTATACACATGAACCTCACAAGATGGTATACAGAGGAATCAAATTTGATGAAGAAACTCAATATCATCAGCCAAAACAAAACCTGGGACAGACTGTAGAACAGACTATCAACTGCTCATATTCAAGTTCAGACTGAAGCTGAAGAAAATTAAAACAACTCCATGAGAGCCAAAATATGACTTTTATATTCCACTTGAATTTACAGATCACCTCAAAACTATTTGATGCATTAGATACTAATGACTGAAGACCAGAGGAATTGTGGATTGACATGAAGAACATCATACATGAAGAAAACAAAAGGTCATTAAAAATACAGGAAAGAAAGAGGAGACAACAATGCATGTCAAAAGAGACTCTGAAACGTGCTCTTGAATGCAGAGAAGCTAAAGCAAGTGGAGAAAAATAAGGGAGTAAGAGAGCTGAACAGAAATTATAAAGGGTAGCTCAGGAAGACAAAGTCAAATATTATAATGACGTGTGCAAAGACTTGGCGTTATAAAACCAAAAGGGAAGAACATGCTCAGCATTTCTCAAACTGAAAGAACTGAAGAAAAAAATTCAAGCCTCAGGTTGTAATATTGAAGGATTCTATGGGCAAAAAATTAAATGATGCAGGAAAGACCAAAAGAAGTTGGAAGGAATACACAAAATTACTGAACCAAAAAATAATTGCCTGATGGTCAGTCATTTCAAGAGGCACTATGTGATCAAGAACAGTGATCTTAAGGCTAGAGGTCTAAGCTGCATTTAAGGCACTGGTGAAAAGTAAGGCTACAGAAATTTACGAACTACAAATTGAAATGTTTCAACAAACTGATGCCAAGTAATTTGAAAGACGGCTGCCTGGTCAACTGATTGGAAGAGATCTATATTTGAGCCTATGCCAAAGAAAGGTTACCCAATGGAATTCAGAAATTATCAAACAATTACCTACATATCGCATACAAGTAAACATTTGAAGATAATTCAAAAACAGTTGCACCAATTACAGCAGTGCATTGACAGGGCACTGTCAGAAATTCTAATAAGATTCAGTAGAGGACATGGAATTAGGGATATCATTGCTAATGTCAGATGGATCTTGATTGAAATCAGAGAATACCAGAATGCTTAATCATGCTTGATTTACTATGTAAAGACATTCAATTGTGTGGATCATAGAAAATTTTGGATAACATTGTGAAGAATGGAATTTCAGAACACTTATTTGTGTTCATGAGGAACCTGTACATAGACCAAGAGGTAGTTGTTGGACCAGAACAAGAAGATCCAGAATGGTTCTAAATCAGGAAAAGTGTGTGCCAATGTTGTATCCTTTCACCGTATTTATTTAATCTGCATGCTGAGCAAATAGTCTGAGAAGCTGGTGTATATGAAGAAGACTATGGTAAAAGGATTGGACGAAGATTCTTTAACAACCTGTGATATGCAAATGACACAATCTTGCTTGCTAGAAGAAAAGAAGACTGGAAATTCTGATGAAGATCAAAGAATATAGCCTTCAGTATGGGTTGCACCTCAATGTGAAAGAAAACAAAATCCTCACAACTGGACCAGTAAATAACATTTTTGATATTATGAATAAAAGACCAAAGTTGCCTAAGACTTCATTTTTCTTGGATCCACAATTAACATTCATGGAAGAAATAGTCAAGAAACCAAATGATTTGGATTGCCTTATGCAAATCTGCTGCAAAAGACCTCTAAAGTGTTAAACAGCAAAGCTATCAGTTTGAGGTCTAAGGTGTGCCTTACTTGTGCATGTTGAAGTTGGACAAAGAATAAGGAAGATAGGAGAAGAATCGATGCTTTTGAATTATGGTGCTAGCAAAGAATAAAGTACCAGAAGAACAAACAATCTATCCTAGAAGCCAGAATGTTCCTTAGAAGAAAGTATGGCAAGACTTAGTCCCTCATAATTTGGACATGTTGTTAGTAGGGGCCAGTCCCTGAAGCTGGGCATCATGCTTGGTGAAGTGGAAGGTCAGTAAAAAAGACCTCCAATGAGAAGGAATGACACAGTGGCAGCAACAATGGGCTCAAATGTAACAAAACTTGTGAGGATGATGCCTCTGGTATGCATATGGTCACTATGAGCCAGAACCCACTTGAACAACAGGTGATGAAACTGAGGAACCATCAGTGAGGTGAACTTTGTCTCTCATTTATATGCTTTTGTGCATTTTGAATAGTTGTTAACCATTGTTTAAGTATTTTTTTCAAAAATAAAATTCAAGTTTAAAATTTTTATTTCTTTTCACTACTTCTTGTTAGGTGCCCTATTTGCAACAGAACAAAAAACGGTTCAGACCTGTGCCATCATTACAATTTTTCCTATGTTTGAATTCATTGTTACAGCCACTGTGTCAATTTATCTCATTGAGGGTCTTCCTCTTTCTAGCTGACCCTCTACTTTAACAAGTATGATATCTGTCTCCAGAGAATGGACCCTCCTGATAACATGTCCTAAGTGTGAGAGAAATAGTCTTCCATCCTCTCTTCTAAGCAGCATTCTGGCTGTACTTCTTCCAACACAGATTTGTTTGTTCTCGCAGTCAATGGCATAGTC